GGTCGGTGCCCGCTTTGATAGCTTGACACAACGCAAAAACATGCAAATTGTAATTCCCAATGGCTTGACACAAACCGAAAGCCTGCAAATGGCAGTTTTCCAATAGCTTGACATGCGGCAGGAGCCTCGAAATTGCACTCCCCCAATAGCTTGGGGCAAAACGAAACCCTAGCTTGACACAAGACAGAGCCTCGAAATTGGAATCGCCAATAGCTTGCGGCAAAACGCCACCCTGCTAATTGTAATTCCCCAATAGCTTGATGCAAAACAAAAGCAAATGCTACAATATACAGTGTTTGCAACCAAGAATGAAGAGCCAACGTTAGGGACCGCCGGCATGAGGAAAAAAACCCTCCGCCTCCCCGCTTGGACCATGTTCTTGATGAAGCGTCGTTTAGGGTTTCCGACCTCAGGATATACAGATCAAAGCCTCATGATCAACAAGGGCATCCATGGCAAGAACCAGAAGTCGCATTGGGCGGAGCCTCGACATGCAGCAAGCACATGGTACAAAGCTGGCGCGCACTCTGTTTTCTGCAAAGACTTCTACAAGGGGCAACCATCACGAAACTTTCGTGCCGCTGCTTCACTTTGCCGTATCCCCGAACGTGTGGCCCTTCAATGCAGCTGTCTCTTAACGACCTAAGCATGAGGATCCTCATTGCGTGGAAGCTCGATGATGGATCCACAGGTTCCGAGAAGCCCCATTTGGCCCCTTGAAGCTCCCCTGTTGCTGGAGACATCCCCAAGATTCCCTGCAGACACGCCGCCAACCACCTGCCTATGCTGCTTATACTATGTCTGGGTGTTTAGCCAATGTGTTCCCGAAATACCCGAGCTACTGCTGCTGCTGCTGCTGCTGATGCTACTTTTTCTTCCTACTACTACGACGACGACGACTACTACTACGACTGCTCCTTCAGTTGCGTGTACCCGGATCCTAAACTATCGCCAGGACCTGCAACAGCGGTGCGAGAACTTTCCTTTCAGGCATCCCAAATCATAGTATAGAGCATGCGCGCTCGAATTTCCTCGGGCTCCTGCTCCAATTGAAGTGGAAAGGGTGCCCAGACTTGTTCTTGCAGTCCTTTACTTCGATGCATCCAAGGTGATGGAACTGATCACCTGGGACTACGTCCTTTCTGAGCCCCTCGCCTCCCATTCATCATCTGTATACTCCGCAACCAAGGGTATGTAACGGTAGGTCGTATGTAGCAATCACCGCTTTTCCAATGGAGTGTTTTGGATTAGTGTTTCGTCGTCTGGTTTACATCATCCGGACTTGGATGGCGGCCTTCCGCCTGACCCTGCCCTCTTTCTGTGCCTGCAGGTCTGACATGAGGGCTGTGTCGCAGTGCCCCGGCGGCAGGAAAGTTTGAAGGCATTGCCCCTTCGATTCGGTTTTGACACTGGCAGCGTTGGTTGGCTGTCTCGAGAATCTCCAAAAGCATGCCTCCACGCACAAGCTTCATGCTGCATCTCTTGTGGGCGAAACGGCATGTTCGCTGCTGCCGTTGCGGCTGAATTCTGCATGCAGGAAAACTGTGTTGTTTATGGTTCGCTAATGTCGATAGATTCGTTGAGACGTTCCCATTACAGCCACAACTTTTGTCGTACGCAAATCAGCATGTGCAAGCTTTCGGGTAATTTAGTACGGGTCTGGCTCTGCCGATAGTTTTAGCCTGATCTTGCACATGGGGTGGGGGGGTGGGGGCGGTCGTCTTTCAGCGATCGTTGCTTAAGGTATTTGCTGAAGAAGATGAACGTTGGCCTCCCAGGAATGTGTGCCTCGGTCGCAGCATGCATACTGGCACCAGCGTTTTCATCGGAAGGTGATGTTACAAGCCAGCACGAAGCTTTCCAAGCTTATGCAACTGTTTTGCCGTGAGCACCAGCTCCGATGCAATACTTTGAAGACCTATGGGGCAGGACAGGGTTCTGTGCCTAGAGTTGGGCCGGCCAGATCAGTTTCCGGAAAGCCCAGAAAGCTAAAACAAAGCCAGGTCCTGGAAATCGCTTGAAACTTCAATGGAGAGTTCAGGAAGTTGGGTGGGATTGAGCCTCCAGCATCCTCCACCACGCTTTGGTACCAAGGTCTGCTTTTAGGCGTCATGTGCGGTTTTGCTCAGTTTTTGATTGTTTTTTGTGATCGGGACTCAGATTCATGATCCCAGCAAGAAGAGCTCAAGTTCAGCCGGCAGCTGCAGCTCTGGACCTAGCTGCAAACAATGGGTTGGGCCTAGACAGAGAAGTTGAAGGCTTGTAAATCAGTGATCCGGGCGAGAAGAAAGCACGATGCAACCCGCCGAACCCTTTCGCCTTCTTTCGCCTGGCCTCGTAAGGTCGTGTGAAGCTGTACAACCCTTCCGGCGGACTTTTTGGTCGAATATCAGCCGCACACCAAGGCCCACAGCCCTGAGTCTCCGGGAGGTCCTAGGCCTTATGACCTTAGGATGATATGCCACGTGCGTGGTCCTGTAATGTGCTCATACAGTGATTCCGAATGGCTCCCTTTGAAAGCCATCCGGCAGGTGATAAGTGGGATTCGCAGCTACACTCCAGCAGGGGCTGGTGTGCTAAACAGTGCCTCGTCAGGTCTTTGGAGTTGATCTTGCCGGAAATCAATAGCCTCCCCTATTATACGTGGGGATTATGGGGTTGTGGGGGGTTCCTTAGCTCCTCCTGCACAAGATGGCCTACGACTTGTTTGTGGGAGTGCTTGCAGGGCCTGTTGGTTTGGGCTGTCAATGTTCAAGCTAGCTGCTGGCTGTTCATCAGAGGTAAAACGGTCTACCACAGTCCGCGTTACTGATTAGTACTCCCGCAACCCGTCTTTCAACATTCTCTTCATAGACTTTGAAACTTTCAATCAGGTACTTCCTGTCGGTATTGTCAGACAAAATTCTGTGCGGACTGCTTGATGGCTCATCGACTGAGGGGCACAAGCCACCCCAAGGTGATATTCAACTTCAAGGCAGGATTCCAGCCCTAGGATCTAAAGGTTCAGGCCAGGGAAACACCGAGGGAAGGGCCTACATGGTGATCAAACCCGAAGCTTCATCAAGGATGTTGGCGATGTACCCTAAGAATGACTGTGAGAGCGAAAAAGGGGCCACTAAGAGATCACAATGTGGGTGTTTACGTTGTAGCGGACCCCGAGGGTAGCTTGTGATAAGCATTGATACGCACGAGCTGTGTCAGGCGTGCAACACCTGTGTCTGACTGTCGGTCTATGATCGCTGGGTTTGTCTGGAACTAGCGTGCAGTGATGGAGTCTTGCGAGCAGGGCCTCTCGTGAGTTCTTGAACAACCGGACATGACCCGTGTCAGCATTTGCCCCGATTCCTTGTTTTTCACTCACTGTCCTGCCGACGCTAGGGGATTGCGGAATCTCCCCACGGGAAAGCGCACAGTAGTTTCTGAAGCCGTGCAACTGCTGCAGTCTAAACCCTGCTACCGGCACCGCACTGCATGTATGGCAGGAGCCAACAAAGGTTGTCGGCATCATCCTCCAAAATGGTCCCGGAAAAAAAAGCACTCCGCCCGCCGATGGCACTGTTCCTCTTCCGCAGACACTCAGGGTTTTTTTTTGGCAATTCGGAGGATCAAAACACAGGCTCCCGAGCCTCCAAGGAGGAAGGCTTCGCTCATCCTCACACATGCCTAGGGCGCCCTACCTGCGACAAAGTCGCCGCTGCTCAGGTTTATTCCTTCCACTATTCGTACCGGACCACTTGGGGAAACTCGGAGCAAAAGCTGGTTCATGGCTGACGGCGTCTTGGAATTTAGAGTCAGGCCCCGCAGCCCGTCCCCAGAGTCCTTGACAAGTATGGCCCGATGAACCCATGCAAGTTCCAGTCACGTTCTATGGATATGAAAGCACACCAGATCCTAACTTAAGGATCCCGAAGATGCACCGGTCAGTAAACCCTCCGCATCCGGAATGCGGGTAAGAGATATCTCTTGAGAAACGGCCCCCAACATCGGCCACGCTCTCCTAAGCAAGTCCGCCCTCATGGCTCTCGATACTTTCCGAGTTTCATCTCAATGAAACTCATGCGGAGTCTCCGAGACCCTGTTCGGCTACAGGTTAAAAGGCTTGTAGAATGTAGGAGATGTTTTTGCGGTCGTTCCTCTCATTTAATTGCGCCTGCACATCCTCAGACTTTAGCATCCCTATGCTGAAATGTCCTTGATGCTGGCCTACGTCATGTTCCACATCCTCCAAATCTACAAAAAACCTCTTCAAAGCGCTTGACGACGATGTCAGGAGTAGGTCTTCAGGCATTCCAGAAGTTCCTGGAAATAGCACGGTTTTCTTTACTCATGGGCTACCTTGTGTCCATGTCCGAGCTTCTCGGCTCCCATCATCTTGAGGACACTATTCATGCTTGGCTCAGTGCTGCCCCATGATCAGCCAAACAGACTTTGCATTGAAAAGACGAAGTATATGTTCACTCCCAAGATCAACGGTGTGTGTATGTGTGTGTGAGTCGCAGAGCCGAGATGTTCAAACATCAGAGCTACAGGCAACTGGTGCATTCAAGTCAGGGCTGGGCTGTGAGCTCCACATCCTAACACATCCCGACATCCTTTTGATATCTCTAAGCCCTATATTTCAACGCTCCGCCCACGGCTCAGGAAGCGACCGCACGGAGTGGAGGCCGTTGACTGCACTTTCTGATGAGACGGAAGACGAAGCTGCCCATTGCCTTGCAGTACACCTTCTGTTTCGTCACGTTTTCGCACGGGCTTGTAGAATAAAGACGGTGGGAATGGAGAGAATGGCGCAAGGGCAGAGGCATTCCCAAAGACCAGCGCCGCGGCTAGCTTCAGACGGAAGCAGCTGCGACTCAACGCATACCACAGCTAGTGGCATCTGCAAGTGCCAAGAGCTTCCAAACCACTGCCCACTGGATGACTGATAGCACACACACACACACCTTGGTTTGCCTTCGGGGGATTCACCAATACATGTGCAAGATTTGTAGGTGACTGAGGTGCGGGTGTACTTCGACAAGACCCTCACCGTCAAATCCTTGTCTCCGGGCCTGCATTTTGCTTCAGGCTTGCCTGTTAATGCTTCATGTGGTGTTCTGGGCTTTGAAATGCCTGTTAAACGTTTGCAAGCCCAGCGAGCATCTTGGTCCTCACGGGCCCAGGAGTGTCCACGACTTCAAATTCAAGGGCAAGTTTCCGTGCCTCCGCGTTGCGCTGTTGCTCTGCAATGAGAAGCTGGACGCCCAAGGGCTGGGGTTTGAGCTTGCGTGCGAATCACCAGTTCCTGGAGCTGGAAGGCAAAAGGGTCGAATTCAGCGTAGGCTCAAACTCGCCGTCAACGCAGCGCAGACAGGCAGGCCCAACAAGAAGAGTTCAAGCATTTACAGCTTGAACCGGGACTTCTCTTGGTCTAAGAGTGGTCAGCCGAGGGGGGGGGGGGGGGTGGCGTTTTGGTTCCTGGTTCTTTGAAGCTTCAAACATGTAATCTTGCGCAGGCCAAAACGACTCCCAGGCTCCTTGTGTGGAAGGTCGCCGCTTCCGTTTCTAGGACACCCATTAACTGTGAGCAAAGGACCCTCCCGTCCATAGCGCCTCCTTGGTCCTCGCCAACTCTCCTTGCAAGCGTGGTATCGTGGTCGAGGGCCCCCCGACGGAAGGGACCTTTCTTAGCAAACCCTGGCTGATGTGGGTTTAGGGTTTTGGAGCACACGTAGCCCCTGAGGCCTATGAAAGAATGCAGGGATTGGGTGTCTCTTTACATGCCTGTATTCACAGGCAAGCAATCAAGTCTTGCAGGACAACGAAGTGCAGTTGGTGGACGGTGTAAAGTGTCCGAATCTGGGACAGCTCTGGATGAGGGTTTATGGCTTTCAGTGCGGGGGTTCCGGATTCTTGCTGTGATTAAGGCAGCGGGGTCCAAGAGTCCAACGATGACAATATTCCTGCGTGGTGTGCTGAACCATGTTGACCCGTGGCCCCAAGTGGACAGCTTTCTCCAGTGCCGCCGTTCTCCTCGACCCCAGGCTCCCCGAGGGGAGCCTCTGAAGAGCATTTCCGTGTTCTGTTTCGGGAATTCCAAAATACCCTGCAACAAAAGAGCGGGTTTTGGAGCTGCAACTACTCCTGCAACAGACTGGAGCCATCCTTGCAAGGACGACCTACACCAGCGAGTCGTGGAGCGAATCTGATCCATCCAGCAGGCGCCTAAAATGGGGCAAAGTCTGGTCCCATTGGCCTACAAGGGTTTAGGGTTTAGAGAGCTCACTGAAATCCGAAGCTCTTTGAAGCTTTCTAGGGGGTCCTGCAAGAACTCCTTGCAGAGATGGGACTGGCTCCAGGCATCTGCGCATTGGCGGGCGGAACGACTGTCTGATGCCTCACCAGCTCGAAGATCCGGAGAGCTCCGAAATCGATTCCAATTCTGCGGGTTCCCGGGAGCCTCTAAAATGCTGTGGGCGTAAGTCAGAGTCGGCGGAGCACTTGGTAGCAATTGCGGCTTGGGGGCTTAATCGCTTCATTTGTACGAAGGGGCTGCTGGGGCTTAGGTGAGATTTTGGTCGGGTAGCTTCAGGGCTCGCAGGATCACATGACGGTTCTCTACGGCCAGTGTCAGCCCAAAAACGTCCATCAGATGATGCCGGCATCATATATGGGCATCTTGGCTCTGTGCTCCAAAACTTGGGCTTGAACCTGCGTTCAGATATCTGAGCTCCTGATAATACCAGCGTCCCACAAGGGGTCCCCACAATCTTGCAGCTTCAAACATGCATCTCAAGGAAGACTTGGATACTTTCCTCGTGTACTCCTTGCACACGTTTACATTGATCAGCTCTTGGATTTAGCTTCCTTTGTCTTGAATTGTTTACCTCGCCTGACCTGTCGATCAAGCCGCGACTCCTGTCAGAAACGCAACGCAGTTCATGGCATCAACGCAATGCAGTTTGGGAGCACGCGAGAGCTTTTATGTTGGTCAGTCTAACATGGTTGCTGAGGTCTTGTTGAACCCTTTCCGCAACACCGTAGTCGCCGTAGTCCTGGTCTCCACCGTTGGTTCCAATGACCCCAACAATCGCCGAGGGGGAACTGGTTAAGCTATTGCAGTCTTTGCAGGCATGCTTGGCTGTCATGGTTACGATGAGTTGTCATGAGTTCGTACCCTTAGCTTTGCCACGCGACACCTGGATAAGCAAAGTAAAACTTAAACCCTTCTTCAGCCGAAACCTTCTTGCGGAAGTTTCAGTCCACAACAAATCGCAGCCCCGATCCAAGCCTTCAGCTCCGGTGCTACTGGGCAGAAGTGCGACGCAGTATACAGCCGTACATGAGAAGAGGTCTGGGGATTCTGACCAGGCCATGTTCCTTAAGAGGGACTCCTCTCGCACTGCAGCTCGATCTATTTCATGCTCCTCGATCCCTAAAGTCCTATTACAGGTATCCGAAACAGCCCATGTAAGGCTACATGTTTACAACCATCCTCCGCAACGCCCATCTCAACGGCGAGTCATTGCAGCCGGGCATCAAGGCGCCCCCCTGGGGCATGAAGCTTCCAGTGGTCCCTCAGGCCAAATAGACCCTGAAATGAGATGACACAACGAAAAGTCACAGGGGGTTTCGGCGTTCCCTCCGGCCCAGCAACTGCCATATGTCGCATCGCTCCACATTGGATGGGGATGGCCCCTCATTCTGACTTTCAGCAATGTGGTGGTTTCTGGAATATGGGCAAGAAGGGGTCTGGGTACTCGTGATGAGCTGGCTCCTAGTCCTAACTCCCGAAGCTTTTATTTCAGGCCCTCTTGAAGCTCAACAACGCAGGCTCTGAATTATAACCATTGCTGAAGATCTCAGCATCCCCGCACCCCAGCCCGAAGGCCTGAGTGCGAGTCTGAGCTGAGCGATTCACGTCGCGTAGACCGCTTGCTTGGTTTGTCGTCTCATGTTTATACCACAGCAGTATGTTATATTATATTCTGTCGTGTTTTTCTATATTAGTATGAGTATATCATACCCTATTACACGATATGATATTCGTGAACATACATGATTATGCCGACTCAGAGACCTGCGCGTGCCCGCTCCGGCCTGCGATGCGGGAGCCACACCGGGCCGGAAACCAACTCAGCACAAGCCTACCTTGCCCAAGACTCAGACCGCAGATATCAAGCCACGAAGCCCAAAGGCTTCCAACCTTAGATCCTTCGCCGAAAGGCTTAGACGATCGCATGGTTGCTTTGATCAGCTTGAGGTATACGCTCGGTGAGGCTACAGTTGTTTGGGGGCTCACGGCTTTAGGAGTTGTTTTCGTTTTGCCAGCAGCCTGTCACTGTCAGCTCTCTGCAACGAGCGCTGTGGGGGGTTCAATAATTTGATGAAATAACACTGAAGCGCATCTTCCACGAGAGGATTTCAACGCCAGCCCCTCACTCCCTGCAAGGCAGAATACTTCATGCACATGGAGGTTGCAGCGAAGGCCATGTGGCTTCGGGCCAAAATTCGGCGATTGAGGGCAATGCAGGTTAAGGGTGCAATGAAACGCGAATTGTCTGAGTTTTTGCTTGTGACCAGCACAGGGACCAGAGGGGGCAAGGTCCTTGGCCTCGGCAAGCAAGCGTTGGATCATGTACTTGTAGGATGCAAGGGTCACTTATGATTTTCGGAAACTCTGAGACGAAGAGGACCTGCCTGAGCCTAGAGACAACTGCTCTAAATGACAACTGCGAAACGTCCCTTCCAGCAGTGACTCCATTGAATACCGCCTTCATGAACTGCGCCGTTGCCTAATAGCGGCAACATCAATCCCACTCCATGGGCAGACTTCGCTCCGGGCTGCTTTGCGATCAGGATAACTGCAAGTTCCCGGATGTGGAGTACGTGGCCCCCAACAAGGCCACGAAGAGACTGTGGGGCATAGTGAGCATGGTTCGCATCCCGGTTCAGCGAATCTGCCCGGGGCGAGGAGGCTCGCAGTGTGAAGCCCCAGGGCGGAGATCGCAAGGAGCATGTGAGGGTTTCGGAGGCCTTTGCGGCCTTGGGATGAAGGTCTGTTGGGGAGATCTCATGTTGTTTGTACTTCTCCCTTCCTCGCTTTTTCTTTGGTGCGACTTTGTCATGGACAGGTGGGAAAAGCAGCCTGGTACCTGGTCCCTTCACTCACATCCAGGTTTTGTTTCAAGGTTTTTGGTCACGGACGTCTTGAAAGTGCAGGCTGAGAGACGATTATGCCAGCGGCTGTAGGCTGACCAGGCACAGCATCTGGGCAGATCCGAGGCACAGGAGTCAAGGACGTTGAGAGGGCACAAAACACTTGCACCTTGCACGGGCTAGAATTGCGAGGGTGACAATGGGCATGCTGGTCTGCTGCAGACCGTCAATGCAAAGGCGCAGCACAAGTGCACAAAGCTAAGCGGGCACATACCAGCACAAGCACCCCCGGGACGGCAGCTTGCATTTGCACATACACTCCATACGTATGTTCCGTTCGGCCTAAACCCCTTTGTGGCTTGGCCCTCCGAGCCTGCCGACGTTGCGAGAGTCGAGAGTCCAAACTGCCCTATCGCCGAAGCCCCAAGAGCTTGAACCCGCCCGACGGGCCTCGCCTCTCATGGCTTCTCCCCAGACCCTGAACTCTGAACGAGTCTTAGTCTTCAGCGCTATGCAGGTCGAGACGATTCCCAGGTTGCTTTGATCGCAATGTTCAGACCTTTGATCTAGTTGCGCCACAGGAGGGCCTTGCGCTTCGGAATTCGGGCGTTGGACCTGGGCTTAATGTGATATCTCTCTTTCTTTGACTCAAGACCCAGGAGATTCCTACTAGAGCGTCTATGGCAGAGTCTGGCTGTCTAGCAGTGTCCATCGCGTTTTACATGCTCTTACCCCTTGAAAGTTTACCAAGAGCCATGATGTAAGGTTGGACCTCTGGAAAACAAAAGATATCGGCGACAACTTTGCCATCAGGACTGCCATCGGGCACATGCGTAAAGAGCAGGTATCGAAAATGCACATGTTCAACCATGTGGGAATCCTACCCCATACGAAGAGTGGGTGGGATTGACGGTATCCTGAGGCATGTCTTCTGAGAAGCAAGCGAGTTGTATCCTGCGCAGCGGTCCAATAGTTGCCGAGTTCCAAGAGCCGTGTAGCAGTCGGGCCGCCAGCCCCACTAGAGACATGCCGCACCTAAACCCTGAACTCGAGGTACTCAGGCTTCCTGATGATCGACACAGCGGGTCAGCCGGCAACATTGAGAGCGTCCAGTTAGTTGAAGGAGACACTATTTGTGGGTTCGTCGAGGTTTGAGATGGGCGTGGTGAGAGTGCTTGAACCTATGATTCTCTTCGGAAAGCTGGAAGCGTGCATCGCGTCCAGAGCACAATCAAGAATCGGCCTTGTGCGGCCTTTAGTTCCAGGGGTTCCAAATCGAAGAAGGGCTTAAACGGCTTGGCACAATTGGGACTCTGGCCGAACACTTGGTAGACAGGAAGAAGACTGGCATGAACTGCCATACTGCCATTGGCCGTATTCGATGTCCATATACCGTAGAACATCATGAGCTTTTTGAGATTCCGTAAGCATTTTTGCACGGGAAGCTTCCAAGGGAGCTACAAGCTGCGCCTTTGGGTCGACGACAGTGGGAAGATGATCTTCAATGGCAAGGAGGCCGGCGATGAGGTTTGCTTCGAGGTCTTCAGGTTCAGCCGGTGCAGGATCTTCGAGAACCAGCAGCCCCCATAAGAGAATCAGTTCCTAAACAAGCAGACTCCGACTCCTACACCCAGGCTTGGCTGCCGGAAGCCTCAGCAGCCTCCGTCCCTAGGGCCTAAACCTGGAACTGAGTTTGGCCCCCCCCCCCCCCGACACCTCCAGAACGCAGCTCTAGGAGTTCCCCGGCTGGACGGCCTAGGGGAAGAACAACAATCACGTGGGGCCCTACTGTAACCTGGTGTAACCTGTTTCACTTTTTGTTCCGTGCCAGTTCTGGTCATGCTAGTAGCATTGACAGCCTCCTTCGCCACATGCCGCAAAACCAAGCCTCACCACATAGGTGTTGAAGCTGCCGGTAAAGAAGCTGTAAAGTGTGACGAGCACCTAAACCCTGAGGCTTACAGCGGTAGCACTCGGCCATAGAACGCCCATAGCTGCAATCCGAGCACTTGCCAAGATCTTCAATCTGCCAAACTGTGGTTCTACGCGCCAGCAAGAGTCCGACTGGATGGAGCCATGCTCTAACGAAGGGTGGCGATTCCTGTTGGGCTGGGAGGTTTCTACACCCTCGCTAGTTGCTGCTAGTTCTGACAGGGTTTTTGGGGCTGAATCCAAAGATTTTGGGCTGAGGTGGCTTGAGCAGGCTTAGATGTTAGTACAAAGATCCTCAAATGATCGGGCTTAAAGCGAGTCGTTGTTTGTGAACACGGTTTGGGGATGGCCTGGATTGAATCTGTAGGCAAAAGGGGGTTTGACCTGGAAGTGTCGCGTTCCCGGGCTTCTTGGTCCACCTGCAAGGTTCTACTGGGTTTACAGGGTTTACAGCACGGGAGTGTTTCAAGGTTCAGGGCATGGTGGGAAACCAGAGCAGAACAGGCATTGCTATGGAGATGACTACGGAAGATGGCTGCATTTTTTTGGAACTAGAAGCCTCGGGAAGGGCCCCATCCTCTCATGTACTTCGGGATGCATCTGTTGCTACATCAGCACGTCAGCCTTCTGCGCGAAGGCGACACCCAATCAGGTCCAAAGCGGGTTTCCGTATGCAAAAAGAGACGTGAGATGCCGCGGCCCCTGTCATATTGCGACTGTAACCGGAGATGCAGCGAAGATAACGGAATTCCAGAACGGTGACAATGGCAAGGTAGTAAGGTAGCATCCCCAATGTCGAATCGCGATCCCGGTAATGGTTACGCAACGAAGTTGCGCGAAGGTGTGCAAGCGACATCACTCGTGCGCACGGCACCCCGAATCCCCATCTCTCCTGGCGATTGCGGACACTTCGGACATGTGAACAAGACAACAGTGTCTGAACCGCAGGCGAGTTTCCGCATCACGGCACAGCAGAAGGGTGGCCAAGTATGAGGCTTCAAAGCGCACAATCACGAGCTTCGCGAAGTTTCTGCATCAGTACCCCTTGAGCCTTAAGGCCCACTATGCGCAGCGATGCTCTGACACGCTGGCGACCAAAGCCACGCACGCTTTTAACCCGGGAACATGCACGGGTTCCGAGCATGAAGCAACATCTGCAAAAGCTGTCCCATGCGAGACCCCTTTACAAGACTTTCGGAAAGACTTGCCGCATTGCGAACGGGTCAAGAGTGCCTAAGGTTTCATCAACCCCAGACGCTGCAGGGATCCATTGCACTGAACCCTTCAAGCCCCAAAGACCATTGAACAAGACGTCCATGATCAAGCAATGGCATCTTTGAAGATTGCCACAAGGACTTGGAGCGAGGAAACTATCCCTTCGAGGCAAGGTGATGTTGCTCGAGCTGGAAAGGGCTGCGAGGAAAGGAAAGCCTGAATATTTATTAGTATCGTCCCTTAGTGTTCCGTATTTGTTTCTAGGCCCTCCCAGTTTGCCTCTAATTTAGGCGATTCGGAAGTGTTGGTTGGGCTAGGGGCTAGGGCGATGCTGTTTGAGTTCGGCCTAAAGTTATTTTTTGGGGGTTGAAGAAAGGCAGGCTATAAGTTATAAGTCGGAGATTTTTGTTTCTCCACTTGGCTCGTGGAGCCTTGCCAGGTCGCCAGGGACAGTTGTGTGTCGATTTTGCTCCGAGTGCCCTCGGCGACTGCTTGCTTGTCCCGCATCGATGGGCTGAAATCGGCTCTTGAACTTCGTAAAGCCCCCTTAGGAGAGATGTTTTGTCTTTGCAAACACAGTAAGCTTCCTCACCTGTGACCTCGCACACCGGGAGTTCCGGGGCAGGTCCAGTTCTTCGAGGCCTCAAGTCAGGCAGGGCCGGGCAAGCCAACCAAGTTCTGACTAGCAACACAGGCTCAATAAGTGGGAGAAGGATGCTTACAGCTGTACGAAGCCAGTTGAAATGTCTGCGCAGGAAAATTTCTGAACCCTTGAACTGCTCTAGGAAGCTCACCTCTTTGTGTCTTCCCTGTTGTGGTTGTCCTGGTCACTGCCGTGAAGGCTGAGACCTGGTCCCGAAAGAAAAAGCCTAAAGTGGGACAGAGTCTAAATAGAAAGACCTGCGAGCGGAAAGAGAAAGTACATGCCAGGCCACGGCGAGGTTTGAATGGCGCACGCCCGGCAGCTCCAGGTATCTAGACTTGAACCTAGCTTTACAGAAGCTTTCGAGTTTCAGCTCGGGCATTGGGATTCTGGGCCGTCAAAGGGAGATGAGCTCGCCTGCAGAACACAGAATGGATGGTTGAACACGATATGCATTGTTTTTATTCACTTTCTTCGTGGTACCACATTAGGGATTTATTTTGATTCGTGGTAGAAAGTACGCGCGGACCTCGTAATCTGCCATAGCTCCATCAATCTACACAAGGCCCCACTGGAGCACCAGATTGTTGCACAACAGGTTTTGACACAGTCTCTTTCGCTGGTCTGGTGTTTCGCGAACACCAACAAAATGCCAGCACCAGACGCCTTCCGACGGGCCAGACACTCGTCGGTACTGCACAGGTACTGTAATAATACAAGGACACAGGCGAGCAGCGGTGCAAAAGAAATGGGCGCCGACAGCAGCAGCAGCAGCAGCAGCAGCTGCTGCTGCCGCTGCTGCCGCAGCTACTACTCCTGCCTACTCCTCCTGTTTCTCTACTTCTATTTCTTCTTCTGCTCCCACTACACATGCTCGTACTTCTCCTCCGATTCCTACTGCTACTGCTACTGCCACTGCTGCGATGCTGCTGCTCCTCCGCATCCCACACCACCTCCTCTGACTACTACAACTACTACTACACTGCTACTGCTACTGCTACTACCACTATTACATTCATCTTGCCCCACTTGCCCGCCGACTAGTTTACCTTTTGGAGACCAAGATTGCAAGACTGCTGGCAATCTTGCGCCCCCCCCCCCTCCCCGCCCCGCTTGCTCGCCGACAAGTTTACTGTTGGAGACCAAGATTGCAAGATTGCTTGGCAATCTTGCTCCCCCTTGCAACCTTGGTCTAAGTCGGCGAGTGCTTGACAATCTTGCTCAAAGAACTGTTCTACATTCCCCGGCACATAATAGTACTACTATTATTATTATTACTACTACTACTACTACTACTGCTACTGCTACTGCTACTGCTATTGCTATTGCTATTGCTACTTGCTATTGCCTATTTACTACTTACTACTTACTACCTCTACCTATACCTACCTGCCTACCCACCTACCTACCTGCCTACCTACTACCTACTACGACCACTACTTATGCCACTAAGGCTACTCACACTCTCCTACTCCCACTCCTATTCACTCTCATCATCATCACCATCAGTGCAATACTCATAGTGACCATCCTCGTGATGGGGTGTGCTTTTGAAGCAGGACTCTCTCCATTTGAAACGTGGAAAACACTGTGAGGACACGGCAAAGCGGCACCTAAACTGGAGAAAACATTGCTGATGCGGACGTAACTGATGGACGCTACGCTCTCAAAATGCACAAGACCGTAGGACCACGGGTGTCGTTAGGATTGGCCACAGCTGCTCCGCTCTGAAAAGACTGACCGACGAACGTTATTGCCCATGGGTGCTCTTCTCTCAAATCCGCCCTAACATGGTGGAGAGAGGTGTAGATGTGCAGTGGAGGGTAAATGTTTTGTGATCGGTGACCCGAATCCTTGCCTATGTAAAGTGCTCTCGCCGTACCGGTAACCTCGCGAGGGCAGTCGCAGTTGTGAGTGCTGAAACCTCAGTTTTGGCTATGGATGTCAGAAAAGCAAAAAGTTGCAAAATCTTGGAGCGTTCCTCTCTTGCTACCGAAATTATATGTATTCGTCAGTTCAGACACACCCTGATTCAGCATTGCGCCTGACGCACCCTGCAGACAGCCCTCTACTGGTGTCACATAGGTTCTCAGAGACGCCCAGTTTGACTTTCGCTGAAGCGTTGGAAGGGACAGCCTTTCTGGAGGATGTCTTGACTATATTACAGCACGTGACATGAGAGCAACGCGTTTACCAGGCGGTTTGCAAAGGGCCAGCCCTCTCGGCGTCTTATCGTGCTTCTGGTTCTTGTCGTGCTTGTGGCATCCTTGGTGGGAAACCCTTGAAGCCCGTGTGGAGCCAGAAAGCGTTTTGTAAGACTTTTAGGTGTGCTAAGCATGCCATACCTGGAATTTGGCCATGCAAAGGCCCCACTTTCAGAGTCCTCAGCCTGAACCCCAAAGCTTGCTTGTCTGGACGAGTTCCGAGAGTCACTCAGGTGGGCGATCGTGCCTGAGCCGCTGGTCCTTGTAGTTCAGCATGCATGGGCTTCTGGCTTTTTGCAGCTCCTTCTACATCTCCTCCTTTGGGATGAGTTGGGCCCACAGGTGGCATACTGTATATAGCTCGTTCCCGAAACAGGGTGCTGGCTGCGCCTGATCTTTGTTTGTCGTGCACTCGCTTTCTCTCTCTCTCTCTCTCTCCCTCCCCCTGTTTGCCTTCTCTTTCGCATTTGGCTGTTTTTTGCACCGGACACAGAGCTGTGAGCCTCCTCGAAGGGCGGCACGGTAACTGGCAAGCCCTATTCCGGTTCCAAACAGCGCAGAACTCCATTCTCCTGGCATGGCATGTTGCAGTGTTGTCTGACACTGGGGAACAGGGGAATGGTTCCGGTGCAGAATGGAAGAAGGTCGAGCAGGAGAGGTGCTGTCATGTGGAGATCATGGAGGCCTTGGCATTCCTTCAAGGTTGCAGCAAAAGCGTCTTCAAGATTCGCGGTTCTGAAGCAGACGAGTGAATCCCGAAAGCTGAATTGTGTCCTTGAGCTCTTTGGATGCCCAAAAGGAGGAACCCGAGCTGTTCCCTCAGAGCCCTTAGCCCAGGACAGCCTTTGCCAACAAGCAAGTGCCCCGCGAGCATTTAGAGTTTATTACTGTAGTGCGCAGAGACACCGGTGTACAGGGCCTTTCGTGTGTGAGGTTTGGTTAAAACTTTGAAACTACTGAGATAAGATGTGTGTTCTTCCTTCTGCCACGCGACTGCACGTGTTCACTGCTAAGAATGCTGGTCCTGAAACTGATGACTTCTCGCTTTCCCTGAGGGGTTGCCACATCTATACGATCACCAAGAACAGGCAAAGCTTACGCCGACGAAGCCTGCAAACCCTCTAACCTCACCCAACGCCTGAACCTCTTCGCCACCACGGCACGTGTACCGCGCCGTGCCACAACCCATTAGACGTGATAGGGAAGCCAACCAGACGCAGCGACGCAAGCCCTGACTAGCCACTCAACTCCTTTTCTGAGACCCCCAAAGTCCACCGGGCGTTCGTTTCCCCTCGTCCTTCTTGGGCTCCAAGAAGGCTCTACTAGGACTACTTAGCCTGCGCACCCTTGTGAAGCTCAAGGATGCCTCCGAGTGGACTCAGAGCTCCATGGCCAAGGGCTGTGCTGGGAACACCGCACTGGGATCTGTGTGGCACGGCGGAATATTGAGGTCATTTCTCCTTCTTTCGTGACGTTCTGTGTAGAGGCCAAGATGTGTGCGAGCCCACAAGCTAGGCCAGTTGAGAATGCTAATCTCAGGACGGGATGAAATTGGTCGGTAGCAGCAGCGCTCGGGATATCCAACAACTCCGCACTCCACGATTCGATGTGTAATGCGAGCAGTGCTACAGACGGCTGGATTTTTGACGCAAGCCCTTGACCACTGGGATGGCCTGCTTCAACTCCTACTCCGAGGATTCTCTTGTGCAGGCCCTGAAACAGGAACCTTACAGAGCCGTTGATGGTAAACGGTGGCTGCACAGCACCCCGCACGAAGGGCACAGCAAATGGTCCCAAGGCCAGAAACACTAGTCATTGATTTGGCGCGGTCGCAATTCGCAACCTCGTTGAAGCAAGGCATGTAAGATGCATCAGTTCTCTTCTAGCGGAGTCCCAGAAGCGTCTAGATTAGTCCACCGTGCAGAACGAAAAAAAAGCGCATTCTGCGTGAGCAAGGAACCCGGGTATGTTTCTGAAGGGCGGCGTTTCGATTGGCGCTGAGATGGACTCTTGGGCAGCAGAAACACGCCGAAGCTTTGCCTTTGTGCCTGCAGGTGTCAGTCGCAAGGACAGAGAAGAGATTTGCAAAATTCATGTGCCCATTTTGGTTTTCCTAACCCAGCTTGTCAATGGCCCCATTTACTCCCCCACTCCGAATCCATGCCTTGGTGCGAATGCAAGGACTGCCGATTCGTGCCGCTTCTTGCCAAGGACGCGCATGCTCTTTGTTTCCATTTGCATTTCCGTAGTGTTGAGGGGCGAAAGGTTCCAAAGGCTGCCTTCGTGCCTCGTGTGCTAAGCCAGTTTCGTCACATTGCGCGCAACCTTCAACCTCGACTCCGCCGCCGTCAGCCCACCTGCAGGAGGAGCCCATCGAGATCCAGACAAAACGAAGTTTTGAGGACAGTCGCACCTTCTTCGTGGCTGGCTGCCCGTTGCGTGATCATCTCACCACCGGGGCCCATGTGTGTGTGTATGACAGGACGGCGACAAGTGGCCCGAGTGGTGGGAAGACATCGAGACCTGGGATGCTCAGCTTTGATAGCAACCATGACATTGCCCTTATCAATGGAAGTTGTTAACAATGTGGGCTTTGCCAGGTCGCTGTTTCATGGGAAGCCAACCGCTCTCTGCAACAGCATGCACAACGCAGGACAAGGATACTTTGCCCACTTGCATATCAGGCATAGGCACGCAACATAGCGACATCACTGGTAAAGACAATGAAGACAATGTCTTCTGCACCTTGCCCGAGCCAGTTTTACATGTGGACTTCAGGGTTCGTGAAGCATACGCACCATCGAGTAAAGTCTAGATTCCGTGTCGCATTTGTGCGCGTTTGACCTGTGTCACCTGCAGAAAGCAGTGCGACCGATCCCCGCAAACGCCAACACCCTCTGTTGATACAGGAGCATGTCTGTTTGTTCGATTCTTTTCGATGCGCGCGGTGCATTCAGAAAAGTTCAGCAAGTTCATTTCTCGTCCTCAAACTGTTAAGATCAGCCTCGAATCGACGCCCTTGGTGCAGATATGTGCAGATTGGAAGCATCAGGGCATCAAGTCTGCTTCTTTCGTGGGATGCTCCCGACGATAGCCGCAGCCCGCCCCCGGCCCGACTGTTTCGCCAAGGAGATGCAGTGTCCACCCGGCAGAGTCCTGCAGACGATTGACTTCTACAAAGTGCCTCAGAGTCTAAAGATGTGGGAAGCTATGGGGTTATAGATTTAGCTTCTCTAATCACACTAGTCCTTCAATGGATTGCACAAGACATTCTACCATGATAAGGATCTCTGATAATCTAGGTTTGGGGTCCGCGATTGGAAGTTAGGGGCCGGCTGGCCTTCGAGCACTTCTGGTGTGGCCCCCTGCAGTAAACCACAAGCCCGCTAATGTAGGTTTCACCTCCAACCCACTCCTCACGAAAATTCCTCGCCTGGCATGGCCGAGAGTGAGTGCCAAGAACCATGAAGACGACGCCTAAGAAAGCGCCCTGCAAGGAGCCGGCTAGCGTTGCGAGGGTAGTCACCTCTTGCCCAACGGAACCAGAAAAGCCTTTCTACTCCAGCAGCTGAAAACCTTCAGAACCAGAAAGAAGCCTTTCGGGAGCATCCCCAGAAATGGCTTAGGATGACAAGAAGCTCAGCATCAAGTACGTTTGTGCTGTCGCTGCTGGCTTGGGCGGCTTTGTCTCGAAGCGTAGGGGCTTTCGGGAGCCATTCCTTAGGACCAAGTCTGTCTCCTATCAACAACGGCATGTGCCAGAGCACAATGCCCTCAGCCCCTCTCTTTGTCACTTTGGTGATCATGCTTTGCATCCCGGCGTATGACGTCAAGACTCGTGCGCAGGTTCAAGTTCCCACGGCCATGGGAGGTGCTATCAAAACCAGGGTTCACGGGCATTAAGGCTGCCCACGTTTTCTACGACATTGTAGCTTCGGGAAATCCATCAGGGGGGAGGGGGGCTGCATTGCAGCGCCAAGGGTTCGGCTCTCCACATTGGGTTCTGCGAGATCCTTCGGAAACACTTCGCAAACACACAGGCTCTGAGCCTCTGCAGTTGCTCCTGACATATTATTGGATTCACGTGCGAGTCTTGCACGCTGCAGGCTTTTGCCATCTTCAGCATCCCTACGCCCGGAGCCTCGAATTGGGAACAAAAGTCCGCGAAAGCCCTCCGACCCAGGGCAGTGCTACCCCAGCTGGACTGACCAGCAAGATGCTCGCGAGTTCAAGGACAGCGCCGCCCGGATGGATTGGGCCAAGGATTGCTTTGCTGACGGTTTAGGAGCTCCAGGCGTCGACCGGTTCCTGCCTAGCTCAATGCCACAGTTATTGTTTCGGTGCGGGAGAGAGGTGAAGGGCAGTCAGGGGTAGTTCTGAAGGCTGAGGGCAACGCTCATTGAAACAGACGAAAGTCATGTCGGCTTAGTTGTACGTCACTGGGAGCCTGTAGTCTGCTTGCCTCAAGAGCGGCTTTCGGGAACCTTTAGACATTAGAGGTCAAGAAGCCTGACATAGAGGAGGCTTTAAGGGACAGCAACTGCGCGCTTTCGAAGTGTATGCCGACATGTGTGCCTGCAAGAATCGGTGTCGTGTGCACAAGAACGCCCAAGCAGGAAACAGGTTTCGGAAGCAGTCCTGGCGAAGTTCACGGACAGATGAAGTGGGGATCTGGGTGGCTGCAATTTTACAGTGTAATTACCCGTGTAATTAGCTTGGGCCGAAGCGTTCCAAGATGTAGAGAGAAATCCGGCTACCCAGAAAGTTCTGAATCGAAGCCAGACGCCCGAAATAGAGAGAATCCAGCAGAAGACATCGCAGGGTCGCCAGCCGCTAGCCAAGGCAGTCTCGAGAGGCGTCCTGTCTCGCCTACCCGTCGTTTGTCCGGGACACGACCTGCTCAGTGGGCTCCACTTCGAGCCGCCGGGACCGAGACGTGTTCTGTTCAAGGGCCCCGCGTTCTAAAGTCTAGGCTGTAGGCTGTAAGTGTATGCATGTTCTCCTTGGGTTATCTCTGAAGGCCCGGCTGCACTGGCCACTCCCCCGATCTTCCCATCCCAAAGAACTGCTTGCGATTGAACACAACATGAACGCAACTATCTCGATCTGCATCTGCAGCTGCCGTTCCTGTATCCTCGGTCACTAGACCTAGGCCTCAAATGCATTTGGACCGTGGCTCCAGGTGGCATACACTTATCCAGGTCCTTCAAACGTGGGCATCACCCGAGACAGAAATACTTGCCAGAGGCAAGTTTCTACTATCAACCTGCTGTCATTTTCCAGAACATGTGCTTACCTTGTTCTGCGAAGAAGGTGGCACTGTTATCATTGTGGTACTGGCAGAAGGTTACATCCTGCCTCAAGGGCTGAAGCCCAACCTTTCTGGCCTTGTGCCCGAGGTATTCCATGGGTGGTCTCTGGGCACGCTTCAAATACACCTGCTGCAAGGAATCAGGCGCTGCCTGTAGGACTCTGAGACTTTACGGGGTTTTGGTTTTGGGGTGATTTTCATAGGGTACCCAGGCGCTTACGCTGAAACGACCCTTGTTTCGGAAACCCCTTGGCACCCAGAGCTCACGGGCTTAATTAACCCTTCAGCAAACAGCTCCTTGGCTGAAGAGGACCGTACTGGAAGCATACGCATCTTGGTGAATGCGTATATTTTGGTTGCCGCTGGGCGAACTGAGACGGGAGAAGCCCAAACAGAAGTGCAGGCTGCCACGTGCAGGTCGACAAGTGTTCAAGGTGTAGCAGGATAAGAACAGACCTCGCTACTTCCATTGAGCACACGACACATGTAGCTATGCACAAAAATCCAGGTAGCCTAACGCAACCCTGATCTCCATCATAAATGGATATGCCAAGCAAGCAACTAAAGACAACTTCCTTTACTTTCCTGGCCTGTTCCGCGCCCTGTAGAGAGAGAGCTTGGGCTTCAGGCGCTCCGGTGGCCACGGTGTCGCGGGGTCCTGATTACCACTCCGTGGATCGTGCCGCGGCTTTGAGGTGACCGTGGGGCTTGGGGCAAGATTGTGTTCTTGAGGGCTTAATTGATTCACTCTGTGGGGCAATTCGGGGAAACAGGACATAATAGGACCTGGTGGTGAGTAGGACTGTTAACACAGCTCCTTAGCTTGCACTTCTGGCGAAGCTTTCGGGGCCCCGGATCGTGCCGGGTACTTTTGGGTCTCCAAGGTGTGGCGGACTGGAGGCAACAAAGCAACATACACCGAAGTGAAGTACAGCACTAGTACGTGGCTTTGGTTCAGGGGTTCGAACAAGCCGCGCTGGTCGGGAGAGGCATTGTGGGTCCAGATCACGTTCGCGATGATCAGGCAATCTTCTGTCTTTGACAGGGCAGGTCGAAGGGCCGGAATCATGGGCCAGTTCCAGAGCCACTCACTAGTACGCGCCGTTTCGACTCCAGCGAAAACCCTTGAGACTAGGGGGCGCTTTCGCTTGCTGAGGCTACGAAGGCTCCTACTGTCCCGAGAAGGTGGGAGCAACGGGCCGCATCGACTACAAGCAGCAGGCTCTCCAGGGTGGGGGAATCGGTTCGTACGGTTGTATTTCGGGAGGGTGAAACAACTCGTACAGATTGATTGCGGGAAAGGGGGAATACGGACTGAATTCGGGAGGGTGAATCCGGAAACACTTCGTGGGGATTGATTTCGCGAGGGGATTGTTCAGTTCCTACAGATTTCGGAAGGGGGAATCAACTCTTGCAGATCAGATTGTTTCGGGAAGAGGCATCAATTCGTGCGGATTGGTGTTGGGAGGGGAGTGAATTCGATCAGATTGATTTCGGGAAGGGGGGTCAATTCGTTCTGATTGGTTTGTGGAGGAGTCATCAATGTCAATATGTACGGAATGATTCCGGGAGGGGGAATCAATTCGTACGGATTGGTTGCGGGAGGGGGAGACCAATTCGTACGGATTGTTTCCGGGAGAAGGAATCAATTCGTGCGGATGGTTTTCGGGTGGAATCCGGAATCAATTCGTACAGATGGATTTCGGGTGAATCCGGAATCAATTTGTAGGGATTGAATTCGGGAAGGGGATTCAATTCATACGGATTTGTCTCGGGAGGTGGAATCGATTCGCACAGATTGTTTTCGGGAGGAGGAGCCAATTCGTCCGGATTGGTTTCCAGAGAGGGAATCAATTTGTGCGGATTGGTTTCGGGAGGGCTTAGTTTGCTAGTTTGCGCTCGGGGTGTTTCGGTTTCAGCGGCATGGCATTCGAACTCGAGTTGTAAAGCTAGCCCTGGCAAGAACAGTAGTTCTCAGTCTTGCTTTTGCTGGCGGCATTGGCATGTCTTCATGTCAATCCTGCATGCATTTTGCAGCCCTGCAACAACCCTACACGCTTGGCCCACTGGACGAATAGAACTAGCAGCTTCCAACTGCGTACCGAGCCTCAAATCTTAGATTCGAGCTGATCCAGACTTACAACGGGACATTCGCAAAAAATCGAACCTCCATGGTGCAAAATAGTTGCAGGCATGCACGCATGCATACATTTATGCATTTTTGCACGCATACAAGCGTGCACCTTCCTGCGTACCTACATACGAACTATGTGTGGAAATATTTACCCTAGAGAGGCAGAGAGAGAGAGAGAGAGAGAGAGAGAGCGAGAGAGACAGAGAGAGAGAGAGAGATTAAGATTGCAATGCATTTATGCATGTACGTCTGTATGGCATTGTGCGAGCCATGTCGTCTGTACAGCGTACGGAATAACACCATGCATAGGTTATCTAGGTGTAGATCGTTTCTCCAACCTGCGGCAGGCTCTGAAGCCGGACACACCGCCAGCGAAGCTTTCTGGCAGCAACAGAACTTGCACCAAAACAAGAACTGCTGAGTGCTTAGGTAAGCTCAGGATTGCGGGATGAATTCTGGCACGGGCCGGGGTTGAGGGGACAGGTGGTAAGGTTAGGACTTGGGGTTGATGCCTTGAAGTTCGGGAGAGACATTCCCGCAAGGGGGGGGGGGCCCATAAGAATGCATGTGTCTGTCAGCTCGGGCAAAACCTCATGATGTCAGGGAGAGCACGATGAGAAGGCCTCCTTTTTTGCACCTAAACCTTGAGCCTCCACTTCGCGAAAAAAAAGTTTCAAGTATCATGCCCAACTGGTTTAGGTCTCGAGGGCTCAGGGTATTCAGCGAAGAGACATCCTTTGTCTACTCAGTTTCGTCTTGACGTGTGCAAGAACTGGGGGCAACCAGAAGTTTCCGGCATAGAACCAAGTCTGCGTGTAGATTCAAGGAACCTTGGCAATCTTGTTTTTGTGGTGACTTCCCGGCTTGAGAATATGTGGCACTCCCCATATACAGGCACCGCAGCTGTTGTGATGCTATCACGAAGCCCAACAGCGCATGTGCATCAGCAAAGAAGTATCAATCATGTCCAAGCATTGATGGTTCAATGATAGGGAAACTCCTGAGATCAGGAATACGCTGGCGAGAATCGGAGTCCGTCACAAGCCGTGCCAGATGTCGTTTGCTGGTGCTTTGCTGCAGGCTGACCTTCAGCGAAGACAGCGGCAAGTGGTGCATTGACGGTCGCTAGGGTCAAATTGGGTACTTGTAAGTTGGCGGCCAGCAGGGAATGGATACTGACCTGACGGATTGTTTGGGCCCTGCCAGAACAAGCCAGGTAGGGGTTGTTCAAAGCGAGTGTCCAACTACGGTTGAAGCTTTCGAGGTTCCCTCATCATTGCTTGCTTGCTGCTGCCATGACACAGGAAGCAGCCATCACGGCTTGGGACCACTTCTCTGGGGTTGACAACACATTTAAGCGTCATTGGTAGGGCAGCTTCCGATGCATTTTCCCGTGCTAAAGTATCGGGCACAAGTAGGCTCGAGGACATCATGCAAGCCAGCCGTACAGCTGCGCAAATGCCCTACTAGACGAAGGGGGCTTACCGACCAGTTTCTCGAAGTCAGGAGTTCAAATGCCTTGCTGGTTTGAAGACTGCGGTACGAGCATATAAACGCTTATGAAACCTCGAAGCTTTGTTTCCCACCCTACTTGTTGCTTTGCCGGTGATGGCAGAGCTCATTGTCTTCCCAGGTGTGCTACTCTTCTGGCTGTCAGAATTGCAGTCATTGTAGTGGGTGCGCATGATGCAGGTGCAGGACGCACGCTCACATGTGCATACCATTGCATGCATACATGGTGGCGGATGTGTGCCCTCATACGGACAGGTAAGTAGGTATAGGCAGGCAAAGCATGCATACAAATGCCGGCAAAACTGTCTCGAGATTTCCTGTCCCACCCAACTGGTGCCGACGCTCTCTTCGCAGAGCCTTTAACTCTGACACGACAAATGCAAGAAACTTCAAGCTTTGCTGCTCTGCTACACTTCTGACCCGTCGAGTTAGACTGGGATCCGCTCGCTTAGGCGAGTGCTCTTCAGAGGGGGACGACTTCGAGCCCATCGGCCACTCGGCGTTGCCACCAGCATTTCTGAATTACAGGTTCAAGTTTCAGGCGAATCTTGAAAATCTAGTACCGTAGTTCTGGTACTCGTCTTGCGCACGCTACCCGGGTATGTCGCTTCCGTTCCTCCGCCCTGAGATCCTCGCATGAGTTCATCAGACCCGAAAATTCTCAAGCCGCGAGCCTAAACCCGATCCTCAGTCCACTAAAGGAGTTCACCAAGGACTTCGCATCGGCAAGCTGGAAGCCACCGCTGTGACCGACTTCGACGGAAAGTTTGAGGCTCGAAAGAGGGTCTCGGCATCTGCGTGCATTCTTTGCATGCATGCTGTGTCTGTGCTCTTTCTGCATGGTACTCGGGCGGCCCTACAGAAACCGGAGGCAAAGGGCGTCAGCCCCGCTTCGTCTGCGTCGCCGCTGGGCGCTTCGGCCCCGCAGGCCTGCTGAAGAGCCCCCGACCTTTGTGCAGTAGTGTCCCCTTTTTGATAGCTCTTAGTTGGGGCTCTTGAAAAAATGGTGGAGCTACGTCGATCCTACGATTCAGGGCTGTAGGTTACAGGATTGCTTCGTCGTCTTCAAACTTGTTCATGATCGTGCCTGTTCTGGCCGTGCTTCTAGCAACTGCCCAGGAACGGCATTTGATCCAGCGCAAAGAGCACACGGGCTATTTGTGGGTACTTGACGTGTCCTTGACAAACTGGCGACACTCGAAAGACCGCCTGCATCAGCATCTCCGCACTCTTAATTGCAGACAGAAGAGGGAAGCAATGATGAGAAAGACGTTGGAGGCGGGGTGCCGGCGGCGGCAGTCTGACGAGTTGGCTGAGTAAGAACAGAACTTGTGAGCAGTGTCATTGAAGAAGACAAGCACCCTGACAGCTAACAGCGCAGTCGGCCAACTTTCAATCTCTCTGTAGCGAAAGACAGGCATGGCATTTATGACTCCACGAAGCCATCTTACCGTCGCCAGCATCATTGACCGAAGCAGGGTCACTGGAATTTGAGTCGTCCTTAGGCCTTGTGAGTCTTGACTGGCTCCTTGCTTACTCTTGCCAGTGTGGTTTTCTGGTCTGGTTGTTACTCTGCTTGCCGTGCTTGGGATCTACTCCAGTCCTTGGTGAGGCGAGGCGGCCGCGTCCACCGAAACGACCCAAGGCCACATCGGGTCGCCATGGCTCTGTGAACTTCGTAACATGGAACCCTGAACAGGTTGGGACCGTGAATGTCTTTTTGTCGAGCTATGGGTATTGCTAGCATCACATCACGTAACGTCCCCGAGCCCAACCACAGTGCCAGCCTGGAACCCACCTGCAATGCCTACAACTGACAGAGGTGCCATAGCCGTAGCCAAATGGGGAAGGAGCTCTGTTCAGGACCTCTCTCTCTCTCTCGCTCGCCAGATCTCAGGAAGTCCGTGCAAGTCCCATGACAACCTCGTCGCCAACACGACTTACTGAGACGACTGCTACTAATGCTTGCACTACTATGCGACTAACCACTGCCACTGCTACTGCTACTTGCTGTAGTCCCTACCAGTGCACCGCCTGTCCCGTCCCATTGTGTGGAGCCTTTGCGGCGTCCGCCGGTAACGCCCCTTGTTTGCGGGATCCCTTCACGAGCCATGAGTGAGTTCAGGTTCCTTTTGCTTTCTGCCCAAATCCCGTATACTGGCGATGGTGTGTGTGTTTGCTCCGGAGGCCGTGACCAAAGTCACAATCCTTCGATCGACCAAAGACTCCTCAGGTCCCAAACACGCCTGATCATTTCAGGCGCCGAAGAAGCCCAAGCTGGAGAGCTTCGAGCCACTTGGCAAGAGGAGAAGAGACCAGGAGACTCCCGAAAGCTAGCAGTTCAGAAGGCCACTGCCGCTGTGAGGTAACGAGCCGGAGGATTAACTTCAAAAGCTTTCAAGCGCATATTCTAGCTCAAGAAGTTCGCAGCGAGCTCCAGTGTGAAATTGAATGCTTCTTGGGATTCTGTTGAGCTGTTGCTTGTTTGGGCTTGGGGCTCCGGGATCCTGATGAGAAGATACTGTTGCTGTTAGAAAGGGCCTTTCCTGACCGGTTTGAGTCGTTGCACAGGTCTTATTTGAGACACTGCGTCGACGGTCCCTGATGGAGTTGGCCTTAAATCAATTGTCAATTGTTGCCTGCTTCCAGAACTGTCCTGCTACCATCGGAAATAGTGCGCCACCGTAGACCCCTAGACCCGACAACAAGTAGTTTCTCCTGAAGCACACAACCTGCGTGCTAAAACTTACGCTGGGACAGAAGCCACTGTTGTCTTCTGGCTAAACCAGAAGATGGACTGTTGCTTGGGGTTGCCGGATTCAAGACAATTCAGCGAAATTAGGAGGAAGCTTAGGCTTAGGCATGAGTTGAAGAGGTATTGCCCCAAAGCCACACGACGAAGGGACGCCTTCGGAGCCAAACCCTTGCAGTCCAGGGCAGAGATGCCAAAGTATTCCGACAAGTGCGTCGCTTGGCGGAAGCAGAGGCTTATGGTCCTAACTAAAATTGCGTCTCCGCGCACTGCTGTTTCGACGGTAGATACTGTACAGTGCTGCCGAGAACCAAAGCCCTGCCAGTGATGGCTCCCAGCTTTGCTGGTTTCGGCTGCCTTTGCTGTGCATGAGCACACTTGCCCTTTGTGGCAAATGCTTATCATCATCTGCTCTCCCTTCCTCACTGTGTTAAGGGGGCCTGCTCCCACAGCCCCAGAATCACGCCAACACCTGGCAACTTGTATTTCCATTACTAGTCTTTTCGCTTTTCATTCTTGCCGAACCCCAGCTGCGCTGTGACCTCCAAGCAAGGTGCCCTCATGGTTTCTCCATCACTTTGTGGTTGACTATCATCTGAGACCATAAGTTTAGGAAGGTCTCATTGAGTCATTCGAGGCCTTTGTGGATGTTGCCCTTGAGCTTTCTGCCTCGCGGTGCCCACTTTCTCAGTTCCTTTTGGGGGGCACTCTGAAGGATTGCGAAAAGGTCTCGGCAATGATCCCCGAGATTCGTTTCCTCGATTGTTCTTAATGAGCCAGCTTGTCTAGCTCTGATTTGTAGGGGCAGCTTGCGAACTGCAGTGGGGGCCATTCAATCCCCTTTGAAGAAATTCGTGTTGTTTTTTGGCATACAACAACTTCAGCATTTCTGCAAAGATCTCCTGCTTCTACAGCCCCTGGAGGCTTTCAGCCTCAAGTTCAAAAGCTAAGGTTGGCTACGGAGACCTTTGGAAGAAACTCCAGGAGATCTCCAGTTTTCTGCCTTTTTGGGGGCTTTCGGATATCTTCGGAGTGATGAAGTCTGTGCCTCCCTGCAGCTAGACGCTAGTCTTGTGGGGCAATACCCGCAGTAATGCAAGGGCAAGGTGTAGACTCAGGCATCGTGCAGGAAAAGGCAGACTGCTGTCGGCTTGCGGTCAAGACGCGCCTCCTTGTTACAGATAACCTCAGCTCGAAGCATATCTTCACACTGTCTCAGGGTTCTTGCTGTGGCCTACTTGGGTCTCAAGCTTCAAACAGGCAGTGAAGTGGCGAAACCAGGAGCTTGGTGTCCTCCCTTTGAGTTTCCCATGTGTTCGATGCCATCTACTCTGGCAGACTCTGGGGTAGCTTTTCTACCGCCCGCTGCTTGATGGCTTCCACGGTGCTTTTTGCGGTCTTTGGACTTTCATGGGGCTTTTGATGTCCTTGTAGCTCAGGATTGCGGCCTTGAGCCCCAGTCCCCCAACCTTGGGTCCCTTTGGCGGCCTTATTAAAGGCCACAGGGCACTAACTGGCCCTAACCCTTTTAGCTCTTAGCCCCCAAGCCCCAACTTTGTGACCACGTTGAGCTCGAAGCCCTGTCAGGAGACCAAACTAGACATCACTGGGGAAGAGGTTCCGGAGACTGACGAGACTCTCGATTGCAAGACGCCGCCAGATTTCAAGCAACCCTTCTCCTGCCCGTTTACGGTCATCTCTTGACTGTTCCCGTCATCTTCATCCTCAGCGTGGCGCTTGGGATTTAGATCCACCTTGAGTTAGTGGCGTTGCCTGTTGGGTTCCGCGTGCGCCTTATTGCAGAGCCTCTAGACATTGAAAAAATCAAGACGATGGATGCACATTGCCGAAATCTCTAGGGTCCGATTGAGACCCCCGTCTCAAGGGTGGAGACCGAAGAGGAGGCTGCAGCCGGCTTCAAGGCTCCCCATCTGCTTGTGTTTGCAGGGTTCACAGGTGGATTCAGACTTTTGGCACATGGGACTTCTTCAAAATGCCCCGTATGGTAGCATCCACCCTCATGGTCGTTGTGCAAAACGCGAAGCAAAAGCATAGCCCTGTATAATGCCCATTCGCCCTCAGGCTTCTTGGGTTTACGGGAGAGGAGTGTTGAGGGACCGGGTAGTGTTCTGATATCCAGGCAAGTGTTGAGGGTGGAGTTGATCGGAGGATACACGACAACATTTCTATGGGAGTTTCGCGAGGCTGACGCGGACCCTGACAATCACAGTATCTGTGAGTGCTTTCCACCTGTGTAGCTGAAGGGATCTACGAGGTGTAGACTTGCTGTTAGTAGCCGTAGAAGCTGTTGCGAAGAGCATTCCTCGTCTTGCCGAGCCCAGAAATCAATTTGAAAGGCGCTGAGGCTCGAAGGCTTTCAAAGATGGTGGGGTGCGCTAAAAAACCCCGCGACAAGTTTTTGTTGTTCAGAGCATCAGAGCGCGCATTGTTGGATCGTCTCATGCTTGCCATTTCTTTGTTGACCTGTCTCGTGATTGCCACAGTTCATTTAGCATCGGGGACATCATGAGAGCTTTCGCCACTAACACCGGACAACTCGCTTCGTTTGACAGCACCAGGAGTCTCATCCTTGTGATCTTGCTGCTGCGAGAACCGGAGTTCGGAGAATCTGGATGGCAGTAAGTAAAGTGCAGCGGATAATTTCTGGACGGGTTTGGGATAATTCTGGTCCGTTTTGGGACAATGTTGGAGATGTTCAAAATACAGTCAAAGATACTTCGGCGAACGGTATCCAGTCACGTGATAGGCATGCTTCGTCCTCGCATCCCTCATGAGCAATTGTCGTACTGTTTCCATATGTGCTGTTAGTTGGCGTGCAACCTCCCCGCTAGAATTGTTTTGTTTTAGAGTAGCAGCTTCAAGACTGGGCATCGTCATGGCAAGGCTAGGGGTTTGGCTGGCTCCTTCGAGGGACATCGCAATCGCCTGGGGTGTGAGCCATGAACCCTTGCCTGTCTTGCGGGGCGAGG